CGGATTGAACTAGTCTTTACAGAATATTGAGGGCACATATATGAACACATTAAGACATGGTTGACCCAAAACAAGCATAGTTGTTCATTGTCTATAACGTATGGCCAAATTAAATTTATATTGATTATCCCTACGTCATTAAGAAAATTGAAATGTCTTTACACTGTTTTGGGCCACGTAACCTTGTAATATGAGATTTATTTAATTATTATATATTGCAGGGTCTCACAAATTTGTATCCATTTTGCAGCTTCTAAATGTAGCACAGTGACACTGATTCGTGAGCACGTATCCAAAATATCGCAATGCATTCTGGGTCATCAGACACGGGTGAAACACAATTTGCCCCCAAAAAGTACAGGCTTTATATCACACATGCACATGTACAACAAATATTGGAACATAATTGTCAGTAACAATTAAAGAAATATTTTGTAAGACACCCATTATATAGGAATATATTATTAATTGAAATATCACATTCTCTATTAGCACCCATTTTTCCTCGAAAATGAATTTTGAAAGTGGTTAATTGTAATCTGATAAAAATAGAAATATAGAAATTGTATAAATGATTATTGCTCATTGATAGATACTTTATCTACCAAATTGACTACTAAGTATACCCAGGTAAACCTTTTCAGAGTAACCAAGCCGCAAAACGAAAACACATTATCATGCAGATATCATGCCCATGCCTTTGATACCATAACGAATGGCGTTTGTCCAGTCAATATATTCAAAATACATGACATAGGTTGTAATAACCTGGAGTTATTAAAGATAATGCAACATTTTGTTTCGTTTATGACCTCGTCAGTCACGTGATAAACATGTTGCATTCACATTTTTTCATCCGAATAACTCACTTTTACTTTTACTACTATTTACATCACTCGGCGTATCGAGTATACGGAACAGCGGGTTGATTCAATTACCGGGTAGTTCCTATATTATATGTGAAACGTCTCGCCTACAAGTAGTCACACAAAGGGAAACATATGGATGGTCAACCATGTTCTCGGTGTATTCTATAATGTGTGAAGAAATCAGCTTTGCTAACAGGATAATGTCAATACCATATACTAAGAACATAACACATTACATCGGTTGTTGATATTGTTCCCAGCATTTATCATTCGATTAAGGACATCCGACCCGCAGCCTCCAGTGATCTATGGTATTTCTCAGATAAATTAGTAATCATTCATATGGGGATTGTGACAGAACTGCTCACTTTCCTAAATGACCATCTATGCTCGCTCGAAGTTAATTCTCATTTAGAATTCGACTTCCCCGCTGTTGGCACAGAATTTATGAAACTGTATATACTGCTATTTTTATTACTATTTATAAACTAAGCAGCTAATCCGAGGAGTAAGCACATGATAGCATGTGTCACCTCATCCGTATGTGATGATGTTCAGTTAAGGAATACAATACAAACTGATCCGAATAACCGATAAATTCTGTATTGATTTTAATAACCTATCTACGATTTCTATCGGAATAACAGTAAATGTGAATTTTTACATTTCCAATATATAACCTTTTAATAGAAAACTCCTCGTTCTATGAATATTTTGATTAGTATTCTTTTTTCAAGTCCTCGTATGTTATGATCTTGATATTTTTTACGAGGATGCCAATTTATGAGAGGGGGTGAAATAAAGCAATATTCGCTTTAACTTATTTCAATGAAGGTTTAACCGTGATGTGCGATATATTTGATTGACAGAAATACTTGTTTATTATCGATGTAAATAAACTTAATCTAAAAATAAAACACGTGTTAGTGATCTATATAAATTCGTTGTAACATTCAGTAGGTGTCGTACTAAACGTAGTTGTACTGTATCTGTCCATTTGATTGTATGGGGATGATTGCAATAATATCAACTTTATTTTCCAAAAAAAGAATATGGTTTCGGGTGGATTCATGAATCCTAATAGTAAAACAGAGATCTAATGAGGTGATTACGGTAAACTATATGATGTTTATTTGACAATATTCCTGACTTCGTGCTACCAGATTGCCAGGCTTGATATGAGCACTCATCTTTCCACGAAAATGCATTTCCAAAACAACAATATGGTTTCGGGTGGATTCATGAATCATAATAGTAAAACAGAGATCTAATGAGGTGATCACGGTAAACTATATGATGTTTATTTGACAATTTTCCTGACTTCGTGCTACCAGATTGCCAGGCTTGATATGAGCACTCATCTTTCCACGAAAATGCATTTCCAAAACAATAATATGGTTTCGGGTGGTTCACGAATCCGAATAGTAAAACATCTAATGAGGTGATTACGGTAAACTAAATGATGTTTATTTGACAATTTTCCTGACTTCGTGCTGTTACTGCTGTGGTTGTCGTTGTACATATTCTATACATTATTTTCCGCCGGCAGTTAATCCAAATGATATCCATTTAATATCCTCTAAAAATCTAACAAACAAATGGTTGTCGTCCTGGCTATAAGTGTTTGTCCTATATCACGTGGCTGTCACCTATCAGACGATATAATGTCGAACAAATATTTCACTGGCGTTTGATTATACGTAAACATGTAACATGTATAAACACATTTAGGGTTAGGAAATGTGGTTGATTGATTTTTCTGTTGTTTTTTAATACTGGTTAATTTTAATACTGGTTAATATATTAATAATAATATAACATTGGGCTTTATTTTAAGTATAAACACATTAAATGTGTCTGAAGATACACCCATTCAAATAATGGTTTCGATGTCACGTGATATGTGTATCGAATTAATGATCTGCTATTCAAAAAAGGCAGACCATATAATTTATTCAACTAATGTAAATTAATAGATATGTTTTATTTTCACTCTGTATCGCGGCAAGTACAAGAACCAATGCATACTATATTGTTCGATCGTGTTTGTGCGGTATTATTTCTCGGCTCCTTTCTACATTATATTGTGAATTCAAATATTACGTAGTACGAGATTATCTGTTTATGCAATTCAACCAAATGTAATCTTTTACTAGTGTATCCATTAGGGGTGGTATTATATATCTAAATACACTGTATATAATATATGAAGAGTATTTTTTTACAGAGTGATAATAAATGCGACTGTGTTATTTGAAACCCGTCGGTGTTTTTATATAATGTCACTAACCACGTATCATCACATTTAAAATCCGATTTATTCTTCGACATAAGCCTCTATTATAAATATTATCAGATACATGGTTGTACTCTAAACGCCGTAATGTAGCTATGCAATGATTAAATTACTATTTAAAGAGAGTGACATTTGCTCTCATCGTTTACCATGGCGAAATGACTTCGGGGAAGTGGATGTAGGCTGGAGGTTGTTTTACATGTAATTGCTATCAGTGAAGTACATTGCCCGTTGTATAATTCTAAATACGTTTTATATCTGTGCAAAAACATCTAAATGTTTAGAATTAATCGGCTCGATATAAAAATAAGCGCGTCATTAAAGCGTTTACGTTTCTTGTAATTTTCATAATTTTGTATTTCTTACATCCTCATTTTGTCTTATTGAAGACACAGCCTGTGTGGGGTTTTTTTCGTATCACATGTCAGAATGTATCAGATCCAGATGAGATGGAGTCTAACTGATGCATCATGGGAAATGTCTTCAAATTGTCACATTAGAATGCAAATGCTATCGTTCATAATCACTGTGTTTTATTCGACAACATTTAGTCCATCCACATGACGATTCGCATCACATCGGACTCGTTTTGCAGAGTACTGTAGTAACAAACGCAGATTGGATTTTAAGGTGAGAGGTTTTAAGTTGTATCTCATGTCCAATCATGTTTATGTGCCGTGTGGCTAACAGCCGTATTACAAACGTGTAGGTAAATCCAATATATGTGTGGCATTCAGATAGATGTGGTGGAAAAAGTAATCCTCCCGTATCTCCGTAATCATAATGGTTGATACTTTATTCCATGATCAGTTCTAAAATTGTTCCGCCTATTATCCCAATGTTAGATACTATGTTCTCAGTACCACATGTTGTATTCAGTAGTTTTAGTAATGAACAACGGTAAGTCCGTGCTAGAGTGTGTTCATTCAACATAAAATGCAGACAACAAAGAAATAAGTAATACCAAACCAATTACTTTGTTTCCAAATCAATGATTCATGTTAATTCAAAATGATTAGAGCTAATACATCGAGTTAATAAAATGCTTCGTTTGAAACGTGCCATGGGAACAAAACAATCAAGATAGCTGATATATGTTTTCGAATAATATAAATTTAATTATTTCTGGAAATAAATATTAGAATCACATATTGATCCCAATAATCTCGAATCAATTAGACAAATACAACCTGTTCTGCATTTATAATTCCATTGTAACACTGACTAATATGACCCATCGCGATATATTGTAATTTATTATAATAACAGTATGTAAAACGTAACAACACATGCCATACAGATTAGTTACGATGTTCATTTCACTTCGCGGCAGTACATTGTTTATGAGAATAGTGTAGTTTTATCACTGCGACTAACTACTATCACGTCTTCGTGGTCAACTCATGCATGTACCTTTAATGACTGAATTCCGTTCTCTTTATTTTTAATCAGATACCAATTACACGTTTATCAATATATATTGAAAGTCATGTTTTAAAGATAAGCAAAGCGTTATACTATGCATGTATGCGAGAAACACAATCAGAGCGCATTCTTCTTCCGCTGTGTTTCCCGTTGGTTGTAATCAACTCTCTCAAATTACCAGCAACGTCGTCAGTTACAACTTCCAATCCGTACCCCGGCATGACGATGTTTCTAAGTACCTGCCTAGGTAGTTAACCACTTCATCCATGTACAAAAGCTGTCCGGCCACATGTGCGTACAATTAGTGTACTTTGTATTGTCAGAGCCATTATCAATTTAGTATTGTATTCCGGCAATTAGGTGAACATTCTTGCGTATTTTTTTTTCAGTTAACTATTTCGCATGCCATAATGAACATCACAAATATCACCGTGGAGATGGAAGAGAGTGGCGGGGAACAATATGGTTTTACGTGTGGTGCAACTGGAACTTCCTTATATGTAGTGGGTATACTGATCTGTTTCATTGGCCTGCTTTTTAACGGAGCATTCGTGTTTGTGTTTGCTCGCGTACGCTATATGAAAACACTAACGAACGCATATTTAGTGAACTTAGCTACATCTGACATGCTATTGCTTTTGAGTGTTTTACTGGTTTATGTGAGCACGCTGGTGGATCGTGAAGTTCTCACTCGGGATCTCAACTGTGCCATCAACTATATACACACGACGCTGTTATTCGTATCGCTATGGGTTGTTACCATCGTCAGCATCGAAAGATACCTGGGTATTTGCAACCCACTGAAGGCCATGATGCTAAAAACAAAAGGTCGAGTAATGTCTCTCATCTGCACAACCTGGGTACTGGGCGTGCTATTTGCTATGCCGAGAATTCTACAATGCACTCTGTTAAAATCACATCCGACCATGTTACAGAAAGCAGAATACGCGGTCTACATTACTTATGCATTGATGTTCCTTGTTTCTATGGTTACCGTTGCCACTATGTACACTCTGACAATTACTAATTTTAGACAGTCCGTCAAACGGCTGCGGGATCGTAAACAGTCGAAAAAAATCAAATCCGATGAGAAGCAAGTGCTTGTCACGTGTATGGCTATATCTGTAGTGTTTTTCATCTGTATGTTGCCAGCATTTTATAAATACGTATTACATGTGATATGGAAAATGACCGGCTCAGACATGCCACATGGTGGGCACTTTACGATCTGCATGTACGCTCTGTCCAAATGGTTCCTACTGATTAACTCATCTATAAATCCAATAATATACACTATCACCAGCGCACGTTGCAGGCGAGCATTTTACTTAGCGTTTTGCTGCCGACAAGAAGAGTCCGACTACGGTGTGACAGGCACCGTGCGATCGACTCTCGGTAACAGCTCTAGTATGATGGCAAGTATCAATATGGGCAACACGGAATGCTCTTACAAGCCCAGACTGCCAAACGTGACAGAACTCAGTCTCTGAATATATTACTCAGTTAAGTTGAAGTCACTACAACTGCCCAAAATTTGAAATTACGAAAAACACACGACACGACATAAACTATGTATTCTCGCTAGTTCGTATTTCTTTGCGGCTTGGTTGAAAATGAAAACATTATTTATTTATTTAGTTTAGTTTGCCAAACAAGCAACGAAATGCAAAAAAAAAATACTGGATTATTTTCTGTTTGTAGTTTTATTATTTACCATCCTTTTGAAACAGTTCTGGAGTGAAACACGTAGTTCTGCTTTGCGCATATTGATTCTTCGTGATAAAATAAGTTGGGAACCACCACGACCCTATTGACTCTATCGTGGAAAAGTGTTTCATGAATACATATAGATTACAACTGACACTTATGTTGATGTTGTTAAGGCAATATGTATGAAAAAGCACATTAAAACAATCTGCATATTTAGTTAATTACTTGTGTTGCATTGAAGGAAGCTTGCAACATAAACGATATATCATTTTATCGTTTTTTATTATCGAATATTTTTACGTTGGATACGTAGATGCGACATCACAACAAAACATTTAGCGTGTTTTGAGTATTTCTCTATCTGAATGATCCCAATATGACTGTATCCATACTGGTTAAGATAGAACAGTACATGTTTCCAATCCTAGTTAATTAGTATTTTATCTCCAATTGTAAGTTTAATCATTGAATATTCATTTGCCAATACTATTAATTGATACCCAACTATACAGTACCCATAGCAAAAAACATGATGACATTTTCTCATATGACCTCTGTCTTAGTCATTTAAATGACATCTAATTATACACTATCACAGGGTGAACGGTCCCACGATACAAACTTCAGATGTTATGTTGCCATAACTACGTAATCACTTGCTTGGCACGGTTGATCTCGAGTCGCCACACGAACCGTAAACAGTCTTTCGAGAATTAGTAAGATTGACTTGTTTTCTGTCTTGACAAAAATCCCAGTATAATGGCGTCATTGTCCCGGATGAACACGTAACGCCATCCGTTATTACACACAATATTGGAAGATGATCTTCATTGAAGATGGGGTTAATTGCATGATGTCACCTACAAATCATAGGCTGTTCTTATCTTGTAATATCGCGCGAGGTCTCTTGGTTTTGGCACATTGTTATAAGAACTCATTTGGTGAAATACCGTGTATCCGTCAGATTAAAGCATGGGGAGTTACAGTACGTATCACTACGAGTATGCTTCACTAAAAGTGAAATATAATATAACTGTATATACAAATATTCGGGTAAATTAGGAAAACGTAAATATTATGAATTGACAACAACGCAATGACGTATTTACTAATTATGAAAAACATATGTATTAATATTATGATAATGGTTTTAGTAATGTTTAGTTTTTTCATTCAACGTTGACGAAATAGGTGAGATAATATACATACAAAGGAAATAGCAGTCATTTTTGTTTTCTTTTACGTTGAGCTTTGTTCCGATTACTGTGTATCGTCGCATTTGCATGTAAAATGTAGCAGTGCTGGTGTAATTGCTGATAACATTAATCTGAACCATACCGCTGCTTTGTATAGTGTTGTAAATAATTGAAGGAGTAATCACATTTCAAGAGTGCAAATTGTGTTGTAATTCAATTATATGAAAAATTAAAGTATTATAAGCGTACATTTGTCAATTAATTTCGTTTTCTACTTAATTCACCATAGTGATTATATAATTCGTCTACCAATACGAAGAGTCTGGATTAGTTGATTTGTATTTGCTTGCTTTCTTAGCGCATCAGTACGTGTAAATACATTATGGCCAACTGTACAAACAATTACATTAACCTTGAAAATTATAGGGTGGTGTATTTTGTCGATTAAATGTGTTACTTTGCAATTTACTATGATAATGACGACAAAAACTCATCGTTATTGAACCTTAATCAGCAAGTGTATGATAATTTTATTTGCTGATGAAATCCAAACAGTACGTAATTTCATTCACGCTGTGGCTTTTGACTGAGAACATAAATTATATTATTTGGAAACGCTGTCAAACATAATTAAATTTGGAAATTTTCAATGGTATCTACACAAACCAAGAAACAATGTTAGTTGCTGTATCGTAGGCACAGTAAACAAATCATTGAAAACCCACACAGAGCTCAATTGAATTTTGAAATTATGATAATCACTATCTGTGAGTTCTTCCATTGAACTTCGAAAGCTGATACTACAAACTCTCAGCTTTATATATTATTATATCAAGCACCAATCAAAATACACACTCGTACACTAGCAGTACACAACAGACCCATGCGCAATTCGGCTTGCAGGAATGACGTATTGTAGTCTTTTCATCTTCTAAGTGCAGGTTAAAAACCTCATTGACACGCATTAACGTCGCACAAAGTAAAGAATTTATTTACGGGAGCTGATTGAACTCCATGCTTTTATACGATTTGGTAAATCTAAAAACTTTGGTTGATCTGAGTAATATATTATTACACGTCTAAAATTTGCTTTGAGTGGAAGGCATAACAATTAAGAAAGAAAGTAACAAGGAAGTGACCTTATGAATTATGTAACAGTCGATTCAGTACCTGCAGCGTAGAAAAAACACACACTGCATATGCGATAATATTGTAGTTGATTTCGTGCACAACACAGGAAACACATCTGCTCCACAGGAAATACTCTACTCTGCCAAAACGCTGTACTCTGTCCGAAGCGTAGGACACGAAACGACATCACTGTATATGGAATAATGTTGCAGTCGATTTGATGACTGTAGTGTAGAACAGAAATATTGTTGCGAATTCAGTTCAATTTAGCATGTTTATTCTTAGATATAAATTCACACGAATACTTTTAATTATATTAGCTATTGGGTTAAAACGAAACAAACTACACGTTAAGATTACCAGACAACGAGATACTGACCATGTTAGGTATTACATAAAAGTCATGTGTATATTACAGAAGAATTGTTAAAAGATCAAATACAAAATCAATTCAAATATGTGTATGCGTCTAAACGCTCACGGAGCATATACAGTTATCCAGTCGCTGTACTCATTAAAATTCATAGTTTTCTATTATATGTAGATATGCGCGTGTTAGTCCACAAAACAATCGTATTATTACACGTGAAAATTATATTATATATTGACTAAAACCCTGCTTTCATTCTGTGCGGAGAATCTATTGCGTGCGTCAACGATTTTTGATGGAGAAAAAATATTACTATTCATGTCCCTCTACTTATATTACACTTTCGAGACAAACTTCATCAAGTGACCCCGTGTAAACTATATGCATGTGCATACTGACATGTTATTATTACTATATGATTGAATACCTAAAACAAACAAGCGTCATTCACCATCCACAAGTACAAAAGCACAACTCAAAAATTAATAGAATTCGTTCTTTTTATAACGAACAAATACGAGTATTCGACGTCTGAAGATCCCCTGACAAGTCATGTATTTAATATACGGCCACCGGTGCACAATTCATCTATCTGACTTCTTATGACAGATTACATGTGCCTAGACGCATATTGGGTTCAAATCCCGTATAACCGACAAGCAAACCGATCGTAATCTTAGGAGACATAGCTTTCTCGTTTTATACTTATCTCGTCAGAGGAAATCTCCCTGATCACGGTCGTATATTACAAGCGACCAGCGCCTTAACCTCATTTTCGTTGAGCACACGCTCTATATTTTATGAGTTATGTGTTGTACACTCAGACACGCGCCCTCTTGTGAGCAAGACAACACGTAATAATGATAGCAGGCGAGAGAACAGTGTGCTTTCAATTTTCAGTGAATGCAATTAGCCTATTGCTAAATATAACTTTTTGTATCGTATACATACAATATTTTTCAAGCATACTCGATTGTTTAGATGTACATGAGCACGATCCGTGGTATGGTTGAATAAATATATATAAATGTTATGTGTTCGTTTCATTAATGAAATTAATCTGCCTGCAAAAAAATACCACAATTTGTGCTTGTACTGGCTGTTTCAGAAATGATTTAAAATTCGTTTAGTTATTCAGCTGATGTGCAATTAGACAATCCAGGTTATTGGCTTTCGATCCCCAGACTAATAGTTTACGTGATTTCATTCAGGTAATACCGCCATCAACGGCCAACTATATACTATCAAGATCAGTATCTCTTCTATGACCAATACAATAGATGATGTGTTCCTGAAGTTAATGCGAAGCTAGGTAAAATATTGTGCCTGATTGGCCACCTAACAATCAGAGAAATCATAATCAAAATCCTGCTTATATATATGTATATATTTATATATATGTACTTCGACTCAAATGTAAGTTTGCAACAGTATGATGAAGTAAAGCACCATCGTGTGTCGTATATATATATACATACGTTGAATTGTAATAAAATATCAAATACAGAAACAGCAGTCGGATGAAGTGACCCGATAACGTCTACTTAACTGTAATAATGCATCAACCAGGGTCTCAAACTACATATGTCTTGACTGATGTCAGCGTCTCGCCTATTTTGTTTTACAATCACATCAAGCTGAAGGTCGTATTTGATGAACACAACAGTTTAATTCATCGTATTTTGTTTTGCTAGAAAATCAAGTGGAGACGTCGTTGCTGTTGTACACACTGGTTAATCTACACAATCCACATAATACTCGATGATCATGCACACAGTTCCTGACATGTAATTTATAAAGGTGATTGGAATTTCCTTTGAACTGCTAAGTAATTACTATGTATGTTTAGCTTGTCACATTAGGTTGATTGGATCTTTAACGAGTTATACTTTTTTTTATAAGAAATATTGATGAGTGAGTACGCCAGCTTTGAAATAGACAATAAGTATGTGCCATCATAGTAACTACCAATTATACTGCATTATAGCCAAAGTGCTGCTGGGCATGATATTGGCAAAATGCATTTAAATGAATAATTGAACATTTGCAGTAATAATAAATGTAGTCGTCTCGGATTGCTACG